ATTTTGGAGGAAAGTCAAGGAAAGTCCTTCTGTTGGTCGTAATGACCCCGTACATATGTCTTACTCAGTGTTTGAAACTCACCTTTGAGTTTTAGGAGCCACGTGGCGCATCAAGCCCGATTTTTAGGCGCCATTGAAGATTTTTTAGGGGCTAAATTGACTTTTTGCCTATATGTCACGGCGCATTTAGTGAAAAGTTGGACGCAATATGTTTTCGCAACAGAACTAGTAAGTAGCTGTAACTTGGGGAAGACATAAGCGCTAAGGATGAAATCGTGAAGAATTGAAAAAGCTTTCCCTTGTAGTGCTGAAAATTTCGAATAATCACCTAATATGAAAATTCAAGTTTTTAAGGGGCAATTTTTAGGGGCCACGTTGGCGCAGAGCCTTCATTTTTTAGGCGCCATGGCCGATTTTTTAGGCGCATTTGGCACGTTTGCACCTGTGAGTTTCGAACACTGGTTTTACTACTTCCTTCCTAATACCTTACTTCTTAGAAATTTAAAAAAAAAAAAAAAAAAAAAAACCTTCAGTCCTAGATGCACATAGATGTTCACACCCCATACACATGTAAACCTATGTGCGTCTAAGACTGAGGGTTTTTTTTTTTTAAATTTCTAGGAAGTAAAGAAGTAAATGTAGACCGACTAAAATGACGCGAATCAGTGATTTCTGCGCTAATCCGGCAACTGTAGGATCATGGACGAGCCTTTGGCCATTTCGGCGATCGCCGCTAAGTCGCGCCGGATGTTTGCCCTGCGTGAAAAGCGTGACACGATGAAAACGGTTCTTCAAGTAAATCCTTTCAAAGGCTCCAATCACTCGATAACTTCTCGGAATGGCCGAAACAGTTGGTCCAGCCCAGCCGCCGCCCTCATTCTCACTTAAGTGTTAAATTAGTTGGACGTCTTCGAATCAAAAGGAACTATATCCATTCTGACATGAGCTCTGGGATCCATCAGAATGCATGTCTTACACGGCTCATGTTATGATGGATATAGTTCCTTTTGATTTTATTGTGTCCGTCACTAACTTGCGGCTGCGGCCATCCGCCTCAGATGACTAACGAGGGGCCCAAGTGAATGGGGCCCCGCTGGCTCAATTTGCCAAAATGTTACGTTTCTATGGATCTGAACTATAGCATAAAGATTTGGGTGTAGGTGTGAATTAGAAATATTATTATGTTTATTGAAACTCACGGATTACAGCCAAATAATGCTAACAGGCATTTTTGTAATTATCAAATGTTTATGTTATTGAAGTCTCCAACTGACTGCGAGTCTCAAGTTAACATAAATAGTAAAAGTCGGGAAACTTGTATCTCGATTAGGAAGGTTGCAGATATCTAGTCACACTTTATTTTTTTCCAAGGAAAATCAGTAAGAGACATTATTCCTATGGCATCTCTACTGATCAGTTGTGTGAGTTGTGGTCAAGTGAAATCAAATGTAGAATACTCTAAGCACATATCAAATAATAATGTACATCGGTTTTTCTTCAAAAAAACTAAACAACAGCATGGATTTTGAAACGGACGTTGAACGTGCGACGATGTCGCAAATCGAGTTGCAAGTTTTGCAACTTTTACCATCAATATGTTGCCATCCATCAGGAGAGGGACTTAATTGGCGATAAACTTAAAATTTAGATGCCGGGGGAAATATTTTAGGAGAAGAAACATTAAAAATGTCGAACCGAATGTAACGTATTGCGCTGGACTGTGTTAACGCGGAAGTTGCATTGAGCACACAGGCCGTATCTACAGGAGAATTAAAAACACCTAAGTGACAATACAGTTTAATGGAGCCTGGAGTGGTTTTCACAACTGCTCCCCGTTTCCAAACTCTCGTCTTAGAGCTTGAACCCCTCCAATATTTTATGCATCCCTATTTGACGCACGTTTTCAGTCCTGCACCTTATTTTAGCAATCTGTACATAGGTCTTTTTTCCCTCTCAATGTGGATATGAGTGGTTTTACATTACATTAGAGGGGCTTGGAAGACAAGGCGCACAAGAGCAGTTTTTTTTTTTTAAAAAATGAGATATTAATGATAACAGTAAAACTGGTCTCAATGCATATTTTGAGAAAAATTCGCTCTCAAGTTCCAATTTTTAAGCATTACGAGTAAAAAGCCAGTTTGAACTTCTTTTCCGCCACATACATATAAGGATCCATGTAATTTCGGAGCTTCAAGCACTTATATCTGGAATCAACAAAAACTGCGCACTTATGCGCCTTGTTCTTCAAGCCTCTTATTTTCCCACCTTTTCCACCAAAAATGTGGTTGCATTTTAGGGGGTTGAGACCCAAGGCTCCAGTGCTACGTTGCATGTCGAGGGAGGGAATTGGAGTGCAACATTGTTTCGCCGTTGCGTGGAAAAGGGAATCATACTGACGTATAACTCCAAAAATTAGGTCACAGGATTCTATAGAGTGCCAATCTAACCAGGCCATTTTTTGCCTTTTGTTTAAGCCCTTTCAGCCAAAAATAGACAACAGACATCCTCCAACCCCCGCAGAGAAGAGATTACGTCTCTCACCGAACAGATAAAAAGATGCGAAGGAGGGGTGGGGGGAGGGACGGAAGAGTTGCAAGAGACAATCTAAACGCATAGGAGTTTACGTCAACCAACAAGACACGGGGAGGCCTCTTAAAAAAGGTGTTTTTTATCTTTTTTAAACAGAGAGCCAACAAAGCCAAGTAAAAAAGGGAAAACTCCGCAGGGTTTGGCGAGCCTTTTCAAATTCAAATGTCCTCCCCTCCCAATTAAATGGGAGTCCCGGCTAACGGGGCACCTTTGTTTCCCGGAGACTTCCTCAAAAAACTAACTGTTCCCGGCGTAGGCGACCGTTAGCCGGAGAGAGTTTTCGCACTATTTCCTTTTTCTTTCAGGAAGCGCAAAAAGGTCGAGCGGGACGCTAAAAAAAGGACGGTCCGCACTGCATTATGTCATTATTAGTTAACATTACGATTCTGGGATCTGGGAGGTGCACAATGCGGAGTTGCGGGACCCTGCGTTGTCGTAAACAACCTGCACGGCTAACGGGACCCCGTGCGAAACCTACCTGCGATTCGCCGATGACATCGCACCCCCGATCGGGCCTCGAGTGCCGGGATTGTTGTCCATTGCCATCGCACAGTGCTCATTTTCTGGATTTTTATTCTTTTACAAGATTTCATCTAGAATTTAATCGACAGTATCTAAAAATTACAAGGGAGAATCTTCATAAATCTCCTCAAAAATTAACATTTTACTTGAGAAATTTAGGCAACTTTCGAATTGATCAGACTGGAAAAAAAACACATTGGATCTAGAGTCCAGACTCTTGAAAACATCGACAAGAAAAAGTGTGCTCTTGATTCAATCAGATTTAAGCTTAAATCAAAAGGAAATCCGATTAAATTAAGGGGCTTGGTTCTTGATTGAAGCAAAAATCCGATTGAATCAAGAGTATTTTTTCTTGTCGATGTTTTTAAGAGTCTGGACTCTGGATTCAATGTGTTTTTTTTCCAGTGCAAATAGAAATTAAGGTTTTACATGCTGTCGTGCTAAAGAAGAATGCCGCATGAGCCTCTAGGCGTTTCCATGTTTTCCCAAAAAAATCGACTTTACTGGGAAAATTGCGAACCTTTTTCCTCAAATTTTTTGGACTATTTTGTTCGCAATTTCATGTAAAACATCTGAAAATCTCAAGGAAACATATAAACAACTGTCCTAAAAAATACATGTTTTATTCGGGGAAATTTGGGAACTCTCTAATGTTCATACGGCGTTTTACCTTGGGACGGCAGCATAGATTTCAGGTATACCGCCGTGTTAAGGAAAAACACCGTATTAGCATTCGAAAGTTGCTTAAATTTCTCAAGTAAAATGTTAATTTTTGAGGAGATTTATGAAGATTTTCCCGTGTAATTTTTAGATACTGTCGATCAAATTCTGCATGAAATCTTATAAAAAATTGGGAGAAATATATTCACAAGATCTCGAGAAATTTCATATTTCGTCGAAGGAAATTTGGCAACGCCTGATGGCTCATACGGCGTATTTCCTTAGCACGGAAGTACAAGAGCCCTTAAATTTTAAAAAAAAATGAGTGAAAATAATTAACACCTGGACAATTTTTAGAAAGGAATGAAAATTCTAAGAGCAAGAGAAACTTGAACATTTAGGAATTGCGAGACATTAGACGAGCCGAAATCATCCTGGAACGGTAGGCACATAATCGGCTGAAGGGGGAGAGGGCTGCAGCTCCGGTTGAAGCTATTGACCACGAAGATTTCTTCCTTTTTTCAGATTTGTCTCTTTAAAATCCAGAAAGGGCTTCTTTTAAAACCCATCCATCCACTATGTAATTTAGGTGAAATCTTGTTTCTTTAAAATCACCTTTGCAAGGACCAGACCATACGCATCTTTCACATTGACAAGAAAAAATACTACTGATTTAATCGGATTTTTGCTTGAATCAAAACGAAATCTGCTTAAATTAAGAGGCTTGGTTCTTGATTTAAGTTAGATTCTGATTGAATCAAGAGTACTTTTTCTTGTCGATGTTTTTAAGAGTCTGGACTCTAGATCCAATGTGTTTTTTTTCCAGTGTAGGATCTGAGAGAAAGTTGAACAAAAAAAGGAGAAAGCGTAAAGAGCCATGATTTCATTCCATCCCCTCTACGCTTCAATAACAAGGCACAATCGAAACACCTTTCCACTGTGCGATCAGATTCTTACGCCAGGAGAAGTCCCTGGCCTGGAAACAAAACTGCAACCGAAGAAAGGCTTTGTCTCCTGCCGGGGAGGCCGATTCAATGGTCCCTTCCCCAAATCGGAGGGCCGCAATCAGAATTCTGCAATATTTAAATCGAATCCCGGTCGGCGAAGGAAAAAGGTTGACCGGGGTTGAACGACCCAAAGCGGCGGCGCGGTCGAGTCCCGTTCGGCCGGCGAGGGTTTTCCCGCTTCCTTCCGCGGTCCCGGATCCGTCGGTGCCTGTCGCCACTTACCTCATTGTTCCCGATCTCTGATGTCGATTTTCGTCATACTGCGACACCGCTTCCTCGGAAAACTCCGCAAACCAGTCTGCACCCTTCACCGAATCTGCAGGCCTTTGATGTCGAGCCTCGAGCGCGGTCGGATTTTTCCCAGGGGCTCGGCTGCCAGGAAGTTATATAACGGCCACGTGATCGAGGTCTCTTGATGAACGCACGTTTCGGGTGGTGGTGGTGGTTGAGGGTTGACGCCTGACGCCTGTCGCCCCGGGACTGAAAATTGCGTGGTTTCTCGTCTCGTCTGGAGGATCTGGAGCCGTCGGTTGCGTTCCTTGCAGGCGCCGATGTGCTAATAGTTTGGGCCTTTGGTGCCTGGCTGTGGAATCATGCGATTTTCTGTTGCGGAGGTAGGGGCGGTTTCTCTGAGGAGGTGACGAGGCATTGTATGATTCTATCGATGCTATAGTGTATTACGAAAACACTAATCTTCAGTGACGACCTTTCAGATTTTGGCAAATGTTATTTTTTAAAATGAAAAATAAAGAGATGTTTTTTGGGATGTGGTCCGTAACTAAAAACGAAAAAGTAAAAAACTGAAAATTGACTTCACTGGAAATAAAAACACTTTGGATCAAGAGTCCAGGCTCTTAAAAACATTGATAAGGAAAAATACTCTAGATTCAATCAGATTTTTGCTGAAATCAAGAGGAAATCCGCTCAAATTAAGAGGCTTGGTTCTTGATTTAAGCAAAAATCTGATTGAATCAAGAGTATTTTTTCTTGTCTACGTATTTAAGAGTCTGGACTCTAGATCCAATGTCTTTTTTTTCCAGTGTTGGAAAACTCGTCATTTTTATGTAAAAAAATCGTAAATTTGAATACCCTTGAGAGTTTTTATCGATATTATGATCATGAGTATGAGTCAACAATAATTGCACTTGAAGAGCCAATTTCTTGTGTTGCCTTTTTTGCAGTTTACTCTGCGCTCTAGAAAATTTGTCCTAATTTTCAAATTAACAAAATTTGTATGCTATTTTTTCGTGGAATATTTTTTTACGTTCATATGAACTTAAAGAATGATAGTAAAAATTCCAAACTCATGCATTTCAACCATTTTTTATCCTTTTCAAAACCAAATTTAAGTTCACTGTTCTCGGAGAAATCATATTTATTTCTTCTTTTTAAGGGGGGAAAAATTCGGAGGCTCTGAAACCTCCAAATCGCATTTTCATCCTTTTTGAATTCGATGAGGAAGAAAACTTGCACTGGTTGCGTCGTGAGGGCTATGGTCTTATCTATGTTGGTGGGATCTAGAAGGAACAGTCGCTATGAATATTCTGACAGAGGGTGGATAAGTGCGAGAAATAATAAGAGCACGAAATACGTGAAAGACTGTAATCTATCAAGTATCGCAAAACAGGCTACATGAATGTGAACGAACAACGAGAAGTATATCGCAGAGAGATACAAACAGGCAAGGAAGAGCCGGCCAATCAGAGAGCGGCGTTGAAGCTACCAACCTAAGAAAGTAGAATTACCCTACTTGCCCATAACCTGACAGAGGGTGGATAAGTGCGAGAAATAATAAGAGCACGAAATACGTGAAAGACTGTAATCTATCAAGTATCGCAAAACAGGCTACATGAATGTGAACGAACAACGAGAAGTATATCGCAGAGAGATACAAACAGGCAAGGAAGAGCCGGCCAATCAGAGAGCGGCGTTGAAGCTACCAACCTAAGAAAGTAGAATTACCCTACTTCAATATATTCATCTATTGGTTTGCTCTTTCTTTATTCAGCATTTATTTCAAAATCATTCCTCGGCTTTGATTGCGTGTAGCTTCCAAAGAACGTCAATTTCACTCAGAATCACCATCAGTTAATATAAAATCACACCTAAGAAGTTGTATTTCATAGCTATATTTAATTTCAAATTTTCTCAGTTTCTATCTAAAACCGCCTTATCCATTATCAATCTAGATTTAGTCACCAAACTGATGAATTTCGATGATCGTTCAAGGCGTGAAACTAATAGAGGACCACTCCGCAAAGTGGCTCCAAGATAATCAACGAGGAATGACTGCATGAAAACGAGGCGTTTTAAAGTCATCAAATTAGAGGTTTGAAACTCAAATAGAAAACGGGACTAAAAGATTCAGTAATGAAAACAAGTTCTAGTTTCATTACTTTGAAAGAAATCTCATTCGATCGCAGAAATTCGCTTAGAGGCCATTTAATCGTTCCCCATATGAGAGAACGCAACTTATTCCAAGGTCGTCAAGTCCTCAAGGACAGGGTCTGGGGTTGCGTTACAAAGCGTTAAAAGGGGGGAGGCAAAAATGCCGAAAAAAACGCGCTGCATAATAATTACTGAACGCTCATTGAAATTGAACGCCCCTTCATCTAGGCGGTTATGCAACAAAGGCTACCCGGAAGTTGATATATTTGTATCACACGCCCTGTGAGAAATTCTGCACACCTCCTCAGAACAGAGTGCTGGGGATCTGCTATATCCCCTAATAGTTCATTAGAAAACAAGTTTGGTTCAAAAAAGTTTCATTTTAGTCTTCGAATACAATTTTGAGGGCATCAAGAAAAAATGTTTTACCAGCAATTTAAATGATCGAAGTTGGTAAATCTTTTATAAATGTTAAAAAACATTTATAGGTTTGATAAAAATAAGACATTCAAAATGTTTCACATTTTTTTAAACACTCTTAAACTATGAAAAATTTATTGAATATTTATTCGGGTAAACATTTGAAGTATATTTCCACAAAAAATTTCGGAAATATTTTTGTATTAGTGAATATAACATTTTTAATGTTTTTTACTAACTTTTACACATATACAAAATATTTTAAAATGCTTAACAAATGTCCTCAAAACGTATTAAAAACGCATGTATCACTCGTCTCCCTATTTTCAAAGTAATTTTTGAAAAAATTTGGTTTTTACCGCGGTATTAAGACCAAGTTTCCTAATGGCCGTAACGTTCCGAAACGATATTTGACGGACGTAAGTACCTAATACAACATTGCAATAATTAAGTGCACGTAGGATTGCTGTAAGACGAGGATTACCAAATGCATATTTTCGAAACTTTCCAATACTCAATTTTCTAACTGATAGTTACTTTAATGGTACTTGATTAGAAAAAACAAAACTGAGAAATTCAACCCAAGAATCTCTCCATTTCTCAGAGAAAAAACAGTTCCATGGTTATTTACCACTCAACATCCGTAATTTTACCGTGGAATTGCAGCTAGATGAAACCGTAATGTTATCAGAAGCGGGTTCAGCAATTTAGCAACACCGGATTTTCTCCATTTAACCCAAGCTAAATAATCGATTCTTGTCGGAGCACCTGGCCCCTCCAAGAATCGATACATTTTCATAGGTTTAAATGGAGGAAAGAAAATGTTGTCAATTTGTCGGACCCGCTAATGAACGTTATCGTACGCTCACAATTTGAATAGAAATAGAAGTCAAGCAATTCGAATTAATATCATCAATTTAAGAAGCAGCCGAATTGTATTGAGCCCTTTGGGCTGCGCCTGCAGGTATGATACAGGTGCCACTCTCTCAAAGGCATGTACATTCTTTATTCAAATTCAAGGTAGCTTACCGAATACCGAAAACTGCGAGATCACATTACAAAGAAATTAATTATGCGTTTAATTTGGTACAGGCATCAAGAGAAAGTACGAGCTTGTCACTCAGACAGCGAGAGAGGAGAGACAAAGGCCTCGTTGAAGTGAAGCCCTTGCTGCGGAGTTCTGGAGCCATGCGGACAGATTGGAAATCATTCTTGGAAAGATCATTCTCGCTCAGCGTGTCAACCCCGCAATCATTCAAAATTGACAGATATTTTGCGACTTTATTATCCATTCGCTTCGATGGTGAGACAAATCCAAGCCGTTGCATTTTCCAAAATGGCCTGGTTACACGATCAAATTCCGGTCAAATTCCGATCAAAATGATGACCGAGATGGCGGTCGAGAGTTACCTAGATTGATGAGTAAAATTAATTAAAACAGCGTGTTGATTGAAATAAGCACGGCTGTGTGGAAATCAGATAAAGGATGAGCTCCACAGTTCCATCATCTACCATTAAATTTTTGCAGGCCGCAGAAAGATGGTTGATAGTGCGCACCAGTCACCATTTGATCGGAATTTGACGGGAATTTGATCGTGTAACCAGGCCATAAAGGCAAGCTATCGTAGAAAAACTTGCTCAAAGAACCCTAGTCAAAAATATATGCTAGTATCATATTTGCTCTTAGACTACCGCAAGTAAAATTATAAATATTAGCATAATGAGGTCTTTGTGCGTCGCTCTTCAGTCTTCAACTCTCAATATTGACAGAGATATCGTCTTTTGAATCTCGTCGAATGACGTCATCAACAGCGTTAATGAATACCATGGTTATCTTTACCTTCGTCTCAATAATAATTCTCATCGAGCAACCGATACTAATTTTAATGGGCTGAGATTGAGAGGGGGGTGGGGGGCATAGTGCGCACTAACACAGTGGATAACGTCCTCAACCCCGTAAGAGCCCACGCTGAAATAATAAGTTTATCGCTTTTAGAGTGAGATGGAGTCCTGAGATGGAAGAAAATGGAAAGAGTGAAGAAGTTGAATCCCTTGCTCTGAATTAAAAATGCTGAAGTTCATTTGCAATGGCCTCTATTTGAAATGTTTTATAATCTGAACGCTTTCATTGTTAACAGTTTAAATTTTTCCATATTGTAGACTGAGATAAGTGCGGCGTTTTCTAACTAAACATTTGGAGGAGCCAACATTGGCACGAAGGAATATGAAGGTAATGCTCGAAGGTGTTTCGCCTTCAATTATTGAGGTAGGCCACAAAGTATCCTCCACGCAGCAATAGCGATCTATCCGAGGATTAAGGAATGTTTCGTCTGCTTAGTGCTTATCTGGCCTTAAAATGAACTACGATAAATTCAAGGTTTCGGAGCTGCGTCTTATGATAAATGATTCATACATACGT